ATCCCTCCGCGAGCGGGCCGGGACCGCCCCCTGGCCCCAAGGAACTCTGGGAATTGTAGTGAGCGCGCCCCTTTCCAGGTGCGAAGACCAGACTCCAGAGATAGGTAGATCCCTGCCCTAGGGGACCGAGGCCGCACACCCAGGATTCGCTGCTATAATGGCAATTGTAATAGTACGCCCCACTTCGTTCCCAGTTTACACATTCTCGGGAGAGCTGAGGTTGTGGTGGCAGGCACCAAGAAGGGATGCCATCATCCCACTTTGTGCATTCTACAAGGATTGATTGTCCAAAGTTCAGGATGGTGACCTGGACACTGGACCTCGCTCCTGGACTAGATGCCCGCTGTGGTGCGAAACTTAACTACCTTACAACGTAGCAGCTCATTCAACCACAGAATAGGATTATTTTGTCATCAGGCAGCTCTGTACACAACACTTGTGCAAAGCCTCAGCCAGTCAACACCTGCCTGTGTCAACCTGAGAACAATATGATCTGAATTTAATTGTCTCCTGAGGCAACTGTTTGTAGTAGAAAGTAATTTACAAGGGCCTATAAATTTTGCAGAGGAATAATATCTCCATTTGCCTCCCTAAAGCATAAACACTTCCATTGTCAAGCATCCATCTCACACACTTCCACTCCCACCTCACTAACCTCCTCCTGTACACTGCTACTACAAAATCCCAACCCAGGACAGTTTCAGAGGAATTGCCTAGGTCTTCAATACCTTGGCGCATCTCTTTGTGTCTCAACTAAAACAACACTATGAACACATTCTCCTTGTAAAAAACCATTACGAAGAAATCATTTCTCTCTGACATCACTCCAAATTCACCTCCCTCCCTGCCTCAGACATAAAGACTATTATCAGATTGGGTAAAACCTTCTAGAACTTTTCCTAAGTATTTTCATAAATGTATGTAACCATGCTTTAGAAAAAATGTTAACTTTGCTTTTTGTGTGCTTTTAGATAAGTGATACAAATCTTGCTGTTCCATCCTGCAATCTGCTTTTTTGCCTAACAATACCTCTTGGAGAGCCCTCCTTGTCAGGACAGACTTCCTTCTCTCCAGTCACTGCTGGGCTGTGTGCCTAGGTGTGGTTCTATCGGTGTCTTTCATCCCCTCTTGAAGGCTTAATGTTTTTGCAATTACATGACTCTTCTGAGAACATTGTGAACCCACTTGGAGCACTTTCAGGGCTTGGGAGCTGACAAAGTATTTCCAGAGACTGAGCTAAAAGCTGCCATCTCCTGCCTCTTGCTTCCATGTCCTAGGGATGGACAATACTAGGAAGAAATTCCAGCCCAGGGGGTAGTTGTCATTATGGAGCTCTCAAAGCGGGTGGTACCATTTGATTGAGATCTTTTGTCCACTTGGCCTCATTTTAGATAGGAGGCCACCAGGCCCAGAGAGGTAAAGTGAACTATCGGAGGTCACACAGCTGGTTGGATGGCTTCCTTCTTCTGAGACCCACACACTCATCCAGTGCACTCAGGAAACAACACAGAGTTTTCTGTCCAGCTAGTTTTCTACACTGGGAAGCTCTGTTCCCAGGCTCAGCAGTTACAAATGGCCCCCAGGGCTTTGTTTTCAAAGGAGAAATGAAGCTGAGAAGTATTTTTAACTTCTGGCCCCGCCTCACTCCTGACTTGCTCCCTCATGCTAGCTGTCCAGGAAAGGCTGGCTTCACAGTGGCACTCACATCTCATGGAAAACAACAAACGCCCAAAATAGACGATACCCAAGCTCAGGAATGGAAAAACTTGGCTGAGGGCTTCAAATGCCTCTTTTAGAAAAAGCCAAGAATAGCTTTGGGCCCTTGGGGAACTGCTGGGGGTGAGGGAACTGGGAGGGGAGTGCTTAGGGTGGGGATCCAAGAACCCAACTTCCTGCCTGAAGAGTTTCTTTTCTCCCAGGGTACCTGAAAGCTAGCTCCCCATCTTTGTCCACATTGGGAACCTATCTATAGCTGGCTGCCAGTTCCATCCCTTTCCTCAATCCTACCTTCTGACGCAATCTGGAATAATTTCCTTTGCTGGATTTGGGCAGGGCTGGGGCCCCACCTCCCACCAAGGTCCCAGCAGAGTGAAAAACCAAGATTTTGTACTTCCTGAACCTGAAGGGTGAAAGTCAAATGTGGGCAAGTGACTTAATTTCTTACAGCCTTCAGTCCTCATCTGGAAAGCAGAGCTAATGTTTCACTTAATCTTTCATCCATCATTTGCTGTGGTCCCACTATGTGCTGGCTCTAGGCTAGACACTTGGGGACATGGCCAAACAAAGTCCTGACCTGTGGATTAAACCTTCTGCAGCCCTGGCCAACTGCATAGACTGCCAAGAACCAGCCACTCCTTCTTCAGACTGTTACTGAGCCATGCCTGGTGCTGGAGGTGTGAAATGCTTTTGGGCAATACTAGCACTGAGCAGCTTATGCTGCCTATTTCATTTAGTGCCATCCCAGACCTATGCAGGGCCTCCATTTATCCCCATATTACTGTTAAGGCCTTAAGGGGCACAGAATAAGGGCTGGACATGTTGGTAGCCTCCTCCACAAACTATAAAGAGGAAAGACTGTGCTAGGTCCCCATTAAACCCTGGAACTAGGATACCTCAAGCCCGGCTCTTTGTGTCCTTTGTGACACAGTGGTTAAGTCTAAACTGGAGGATGGAACAAAGACACGACAGAAACTTAAATTGTTAAACTCTTATCTGTTAAGTTCTCAGCTGATCTTCCCATCCAACAGATGAATACACTGAGGCAGGCAGAGTACGTGACTTAATGTGCCCCCAAAGAGGGCACAACCAGTTTTCAGCAATAGGGTTTCTAATCACAGCCAGGCCTCCCGAGTCTCCCCAGACCGTGTCCCACGCCCTCAGCCCAGGAGAGTGGAGTTGTTTGCGCAAGGGGTAGGCGGAGGGGACACGTCAGAAGAGGACTACGTCTCCCAGAATGCCGCGCAAGGGGCGTGTAGGAACCGCGCCTCCGCGCCCACAAAGCTGTAATTTCTTGGTATTATTAAAAAAAAAAAAAAAAAGTAGCAAAAGAAAAGAAAGAATCAAAGCCTCAAGCGTCACGTCTAGGAATAGCCTCGGAGTCAGGCCAAGTTATTATAGACGATGAGTAATCCGGTTAAGTCATTTCTCTAAACACCATTCCTTGTAAGAGAATTAAAATATCAGTTTACATCAGAGCGGGAGAGGCGGGCTCCCGGGCCGGGGCGGGTGCACCGCACGGAGCAGGAGCGAGTGCGGCTGGTGCCTCTGCCGCCTGCCCTGCCCCAGGGAGGGGGCCCGGAGCTGGAGGCCATGGCCCTGAAGCGGGCCCTGGGGTCCGGCTGGTGTCCACCTAGTGGGGTTGGGGCAGCGGCCCGCCAGACTTCAGTTCACTTCGTAAGAGTTTCGGGGGAAATTTGAGTCTGCCTCCTCTCAGGAGAATCATTGTTCCTTGTGGGGCAACCCCGGCAAGTGAATGACCCGTGGGACTAGGCTGGACTGGGCTGGGGTTCCTTTTTCTTCAGTGTCTCCCTCCCCTTTCTCCCTGATTTCCAGGGTTCATCTCAACAGCTGCAGGCTTGGGGACCGGCGAGGGACAACGAGAGAGGAGTGGATGTGTGTTGGGGACAGGGAGAACCAAACCTCTTAAGATGTGCCCATTTCTCTTTAGACTTACAAAAAAGTCAAGAAGGAACGTCTCGATCTCCATTCTACAGCCTGCCCCAGCCCCTGTCTCTCTAGTTGGGACATATTAGAAGGACAAGGTCAAAAGGGCTAAGTGCCAGGGGCTGGGGTGACCCCTAGCACAGCCTTTGGTGTGCAAATGGCAGGGTTGTGATGAGTTGGGGTGTGCGAACTGATCAAGAAGCTGATCAGCCACCCCACCCTAGGTCTGCTCCAGGACCTACAATATGAATTGGGCCCCAGCTGTGAGTAGACAAGGATCACCTGCTCTTGATGGCCCTATCCTGGATCTTTCGTAGATGAGGCCCCTGGGGCCCACTGCTTCCCATGCCAGACCCCAAGCAGCACAGAATAAGTCATTTATAGCCACTGGAACCCCCGGGGCAATCAGGGCCCAGCTCTAAGCTCCTTACACACATCCAAGCTTGCAATGGGTGAGACACTTTTTTTTTTTTTAAAGGTTTATTTATTTATGCATGCAGAACTGGGGTACAGGCCAGAGGTGCAGGGGCGGCGAGAGGCTTCACCAGAGACAGAGTGGGGAGCAGAACAGGCAGATCAACAAAGTACACTGCTGAGGGGAGCAGCGGGCGGGTCACGCCATGTGGTCTCCTCCGGGGCAGGTGGGAATCGAACTCATGCGGAAGTGGCTTTAGCTTCTCAGTGCTGTGCTTTAGCCCGCTGCGCCACCAGGGAGGGCCGGGTGAGACACTTTTAATGTTATTTTTCTTTTATTCATTTAGTAAATTTTGTTTGAATTAATTTATTTTAGGCACTTTTTAAATTCCATTTAAGACAGAGTCACAGAGAAGTTCACAACTTCCCAGGAGGCCACACTCAGCCAGTCTCCTGGAACAGGGACCTCCCAGACTCTGGAGACAGGCAGGCTGCTTTCTAATCCCTGGGCCTGCCCTTGGGCCCGTTATTATCTCTAACCCCTGATTTTCCCTCAGGTAAAAGGCGCTTCCCAGTACCTACCTTACAAGATGACTGTGAGGGATGGAAGAAACATTGGCCTTCAACAAACGGCAGTTTTGTTGCTGGTGGAGTAATGTGATAGCAGCCACCTAGAAAGCAGATTCTGTATGCTTCGAAGGCTATGGAAGACACGAGGATTAAGTAAATTAAAT